ACGTAAGACTAAAGTCAAGCAGTCCTTCAGCCTTGGAGCAGAGTGCACAGTGCAAGGGACCAGGACTGATTTGATGATCCTAACCCCATGCAGAGCCTGAGCTCTTCCTTCTCATCCCTTTTCTTCATCTCCTATGTTCGTGAGTCCCTAGGAGGAAACAGTGACATGGAAGACAGAGTCACACAAGATTCCTCAAGGGTCAATATTGTTTTGTTTCTATCTGAACATTTGTATGCAAGGAAACACCCTCCATAAGGTCACCATCAAAACATGAGGAAGAGGCCGCTTCAAACAGGCTCTCAGGAAAGGCCAGCTAGAGCAGCTTGGTCCTGACAGTAAGGAAACAGGCACCTTGGATGGTGCGTGTACTTGTTGCCCAATCTGCTTCACCAGGCACTCCAAGGTCCTGGCTCCCTCAAAAAAAAAAAAAAAAAAAAAAAGAAAGAAAGAACCTGTTTTATCCAATGCAAATAAAGCATTTTTTTAAAATGGAATCTACTGCCACCACCCAAGAACTACATCATTTTCTAAACCTTTAAATCATATTGCAATAGCATCATGACTGTGTGTCCTGGTTTTGGCTGGGATAGTTATTTTTCTTCCTAGTAGCTGGTACAGTGCCATGTTTTTTGATTTAGTCTGAGAACAATGCTGATAACACACTAATGTTTTAGTTGTTGCTTACTCTAAATCAAGGACTTTTCAGTCTCGTGCTCTGCCAATGAGGAGGGCCATAAGAAGCTGGGAGGAAGCAGAGACAGGACACCTGACCCAAACTAGCCAAAGGGGTATTCCATATCACAGCACGTCATGCCCAGTGTATAAACTGGGGGAGTCACGCAGAAGGGCAGATCACTGCTCAGGGCTGGAGTTGGCATCAGGCATCAGTCAGCAACTGTATTGTGCATCACTGCTGTTTCTTGGGTTTTATTGCCCTCTCTCTTTTTCCTATTATTATTATACTTTACTTGATTTCAATTATTGAACTGTTCTTATCTAAACATGCAGGTTTTACCTTTTTCAGATTCTCCTCCCTATCCCACCGGGGTGGGGAAGAGAGAAAGCAAGTAGCTGTGTGGTACTTAGCTGCTGGTTAGGGTTAAACGACAACAGCGTGAAGTGCAGCTGAATCTGCTCTTCTGCCCTAGCCACAAGATTAAGTGCCACTGAGAGCTTTCATTTAAAACGTAGTAATGCAGCCTGGTTAAGCATATAAAGCCATTGATTTTAGTCAATGACAACTTTAGATTTTAATATGTTATGTAAAGCCGCTGCAGTTATCAAGAACAGATATGCTGTGCATCACAAGCTTTCCAGCTTCAAGGTGCTTAATTTTCTAGTATTGGACAATGCTGCTTTTTAAAACTTCAGATGGCAGCTGAGCACCTGTATGTCTGAAGAAGGGTAAGTAGCTTTACCTCAGTCGTGAACAAATTTGAATGCAAGATCCCAACATGTATACTTGAAAGTAGCTTCATAAAAGAAAATCACGGTACTTTCCCCTTGACTCCAAAAGGGTAAAAGGCTAGTTCAGAGGTACAAAAATGTAAAAAATTTCACCCATGGAACATCTCCTATCACATGCTGCACATATCTGCAAAGTGTGATAAGCAGAGTACACTGAGACAAACTATACCAAGTAAAAGGCTAAACTGCACAAAAAAATTAATGGAAAAAGTCTCTTCTGCCTCTAAACAAAACACTGCTTCCTCTAAAGGCATGCAGAGATCACCAGGCAGAGTACTTGATTTCTCTCAAGACAAGTTAGATACCATACATTTTAGTATCTCTATCCGTAACTTTTTACCCTTAAACTAATTTAAGAATAAGCAGCAATAACAGCTTTTCTGCTCCTTAAGTGGTGCTTAAAAGTTTATTCTAGACAACAGACAGCTTCCTATCTATTTCACTGGATATTTTTAGCTAGGCCCATGCTGCCAAACATTTGCTGTGAAAATTGTACCAGAATAAATAGGTTTGACCTTGCATTGTCTTAAAAGATGTTTCATCTGGTTAGTATGAGATGGGTGAAAACACCTTGATAAAAAGCGATACCTTGCTTGAGTTATTTTGAAAGCTGTTACACATTTAGTATCTTTACAGGTAGCTTAAATGACTGCTTGTGCTCTATTTGTTACCTATGTTTTATATTTACTTTTCCATTCCCTGGGCCAGTAACAAATGCAGTAAGAAATTAATAGTCTTCAGTCAAGTTGCCATGTACCAACAATGTCAGACCTCATAATACAAACAAGACAAGTGGAGTCCAAGCAGACTGGAAAACTTTCAAACGTGTGTTTTAATAGTCTGAACTAGGTTCAGCCTTCAGGCCCACACGGTCATGTTCATGGAAACCACCACAGGTTCTCTCTTTCTCTAAAGGTAGGTTTAAATATGCACAAATGATTTCTAAGTAGTGTTTCTCTCATCTATTCTTAAAAACCTTCTATGATTTCCTAGCCCTCCAAATTTATTTCAGCGCTTCTGTATCTTTCCTGCAAGGAAATTTCCCCTACTATCAAACCTAAGCATCCTCAACTGCCATGCACGTCCAGTACTTCATCTCTGACTCACCACGAAGAAAAAAAAATAATTCTGCTTTTGCTCCACTTCTTCCCAGTTCATGCCAATACTTCCTGGAGTAGAGGGGGATCCATCCCACTGTTCACAGCACACCTTGACATCCAACATCCTTCATTGCCCACATCGGGTCACACAGAGCCAGTTCTACTGCCCCACGCTTCACCTCAACCAATGAATTTGAAACACCAAAAAGATGTCAAAATGCAAGCTTCATCATCAAGCCAGAAAACACGGAATTGAAGTTGCCATGATAGCCCAATGGTGCTTCTCATGACACCACTTTTCTTCAAAGTTTTCCACGATATAATCACGTAGCACCAAATTTACATCCTACCCATTAAGAAGATTTGGAAAACTGTATTTTCTAAAGGAACATGCAGAAAAGCGTATTGGCAGTTCTCACAATTACTTCACAATTTCGACAGCACTTTACACCCAGTGAAACTCAGCCCTGGCTACAGAACTTTTAATCTGATCCTCCCAGTGTGAAGCACTGGTGTCTTCCTGATTTCACAGTGCTGTCTGAAGCCACAGCAGAGTAAAACTGATAAAACTTTAGTCAGTGCCTCTCTTAATACTAGAGGCCCTACAGGCACGAATTAAATCACTGAAAATGGTATTAAACGCATGCTGTGGCTACTAAAGGCCACAGCAAGGGGTTATTTTAAAACTGTTCTTAGGGAATAAACACAGCCCAGGGAAAGAGCTTGAGGTAAAACAAATAAATAGCACAGTTTTGTTGACTATGTTAGCAGTTTGAGGTCTGGTGAAGGCAGGTTTTCAGGTTACTACCCTGAAAGTATGAAACTGAAATTCACTTCATTACTAAGGAGGCCTTCATCACATGCATGAGCCTGTTTATTTAAAACAAATGGCTAACCAGTAAGTTGGAGTAGTAGCTTTAGTTCTATAAAGAGCAGCAGCTCTAAAGAAAAATCCCAGCAGCCCGAAATAACTTCAGATGTGTAAGCTGATGGAAGCAGCATATATTACTTAGTTTCACACAAATACATTAGATATAAATTTATTGAAACAGAAGATGAAACTGCAGTAGATAAATATCTGATAAAACACAAGAATATCAGAGCAACATTTTTGTCTGTGCAGGTTCTTTGATAATAGTTCCAAACAGAGAACCGAAAAATAGAAGAATGAGTAGTTTAATTTACAAAAACCTACCCACAAGCAGTATTCTTTTTAATCTAAAGCAGGCAAATATTTCTCTTTTGTAAGGAGCTGGTAAGTGTGCCTGCAAGGGAACAATAAGCATTTCAAGGCTAAAAGCCTGCACATACGTATTAATCCAATAATAAGTATAGAGCACACACAGGCTGTCTGCTGAGCCATGCATGAGCCACTAACCCTCGCTGTCAAAACTGCCCTATGAAACGATAATACAAAGCACCTAGTAAGAGATGGTGAAAATCAATTACCTGGAAAAACAGCAAGAGAAATAAAATATGACAGCCAAATACTTCTTTATTCAGACATACAAAATGAAGTTTTCTGCATGTTTAGAAAGCAGAAATGCCGTGTTAAACAAGAATTACAATGTTCTTTTCTATCAGGTTGACTCTGCAAGGTATCAAGTACCCGCAGCTCTTGCTGAAACAACAAAGGACTTGAAATGAGTTGGCTCTTTGCAGGGTAACCCCCTTTGTTGAATAGCCAATGTAAAGGAAAACCTAGGTTAGCCGTTTCCAGAACACGGACATTAAGCTGTAATTTTACAGTTTCACTTCTGGCCCAGAGACAGATGTTCTACAGTCCTCCCTGCTGGCTGCCTGCCTCTGTCTTCATGGCTGCACTAATGCAACACAATGCCTCCTGCATCAGACCATACAGGTATACCCCTCGATAAAGATACTAAGGGCAAAAATTAGTCCTTAAAAATACACTGCATCCATCTGTCACAAAGCACTTCCACTACTGAAAGAGTTCTTGTGAGTGTCTTGTTCCCTATTTGCCTTCTCTGCCCTTAGTGCCTTTTCCCACTTTTCACAACCAGTCACATCCCTGGAAATGACACTGTACAACAACAAAAGAAATCAGAAACTGAAATACCTCTGATGCGGTTCTTACACTAAAGTATAAATGGTGTAACTCAGGAATTGAAGGTACCGTTTTGGAAACGCTCCAAAGGCGGAATGAAAATGGACAAAAGACACCCTTTTCCATTCTAGAGTGCTCTGCCAGGTAACACATTTCCATTTCCACATTTTCTTGACAGCAAAAGCATTTTTGCCCTATTCCTACATTTGAATGGGTAATTCTCACTAACATTCCTGATGTACTGCAGAGGCAGAAAAAAAAAATAGGCTTCTTCTGAAGCCTGCAAAATTTAGACATATTTGCAAAGACTGTGGCCAAAACTACCCTCCCTTTAGGACACATTTGTGTCAGCAGCAGAACCTTACCTCTCAGCACTGATTTGAGGTTCAGTTTGGCTTGTCGGTGGAGGTCCTCCACACAAGGGGGTCTTGAGGAGGGCAGGAAGACATTTTCCTGCTGGTGCCATGGAGCAGTGTAGTGCACAGTCCATCTACTCTCTTCATCTAGGTTGGAAACAGCTGCAGAGAGAAACAATAAGAAAATTAAATGCTATTGTAGATAGTTACATCACGAAACCCCACATATCATCTTAAAAATGCTTGTCAGACATCATCTTAAAACAAAAAAGACTGATTGCCACTGTAGTCCCATCAAAATGCTCTCCAGAACTTCACTTCCATGACAGTGTAAACCCTTATTTCGTTTCTAGTCTAAATTTATGTTATGTAGGAAATACCCTTCCCTTTTCCCACTTTTATACCTGCTGTTGGTTTTACTCTGAGCTTCCTACTCTGTTTTCTCCCTTCCACCCCCAGTCTTCGGAAACAAGATCAGTTTCCTGGTCCCCTGATCCTACCAGGCACTGTGTACTGCAGGATAGCTTCTTCTTGCTCAGAGGTGACCCTAGGAATATGACAACCACCATGAGAGATTACGACAGGTTCATTTGTATCAGGAAATAACCTTCTCTGACCTTACACTCGCTCAGACCAGGAATGAAGATTTCACTGAGGCAAACAAATCAGCTACTTTCAATTGCCATGAGTGGAAAGCAGATTTGGACAACAGCAACTCCCTGGGCAAATACTGCTCAGAGCACAACTGAAGAGGGATTGCTCTGGCCACCTCTTCTCAGCCAGTACACACATGCAAACAAAATACAGACCTTGCTCGAGTTCAAAGTTCCTCATGGATAATACAGTAATGAATCAGCCAAAGAACATATTGCTAAGATTTGTTTACAGTTTATGCTTCCCAAGAGAGAGCTATTACCTTTTGTTTAAAGTATATCAATAAAAACTTCTACAGCTGAATGGCCTTAACCCTCTACTCTGTAAATGGGAAAAGGGCAGTTGGGGATCATACTTTATGATCCTGCAGGCACCCTTTTGCCTTCAGCCCACATGCTGCATACCCTTGCTTTTAGTGGCAGAAAAAGACACTCCTGTGGCTGCACTGCCTTACAAGCACCTGCCCTGCCACTGTGGCCTCACTGCCAGCTCCCCATCTTGCCTTTGCTCTCCTCCTTGCCTGGGCATAGCTCACTCCTGTGCTGCCTGTAGCATCATTTCATGAAGTTTGGCTGATGCCCCTGTGCTGGAGAGGAGGTGTGTAAATTGAGAAGCAAAACAAAGTCAACAGCCTCTTGTCATCTGAAAAATGACCCTCTCCCTAACACCACTGTGCCTCTGCCAGGATCATTTCAGATGGGAAGTAATCAATACTCATTAAAGAAAATAAGTTATGCCTTCTTGCTTCAAAACGTATCTACAGCCTAGTGTTCAATGCCTATTCTGTGCTGAAAGGACTTCGGGCATGTGTCTAGGTTCTCAATTTCCTTTTTTCACTTTTTATAGATTTGTATCAGACCTCAAAGAAGGTTTTTGAAGACTTTCCATTGGTCTCTTCATTCCTGAGGCAGCTTGGTCCTGCATCCCCTCCCTTCCTGCAGACATACTGGGTGCAACAAGGCAGTCTGTGCCTGCTTTTCCCATCCTGGCTAATTAGAGGTCAATGTCAATCATGGTCAAACTGACACATCACCACCTACTTTACAGTATCAATCATCCTGATATTACAGAAAATGTGATAGGTACAGTTAATGACCTGCCTGAAAACCGCACCCTGCCATCCCCAGATTGAGCAAGCAGGGAGCAAGTAAGGCTGGGAGGAGGGAAACACCAGTCTCCAAGCTCAGTGTCTGGCTGCAGTCCCACCGTACCAAAATGAAAGTTTACCGCTCATCAGAGCAATGGTCATCAAAACTAGCAGACAGAAGTACTGCACACATCTGCCAACTACTCTATCCAGCGCAGGTTGTCTGCCTTCATGAACTGAATAAAGAATGGCGATTTTACACACCATTCTGGAACTAGAGCACCTTTAGAAAACAAAACTCAGAACAAGCTCTCCTCAAGCTTTCCAAGAACAAGCTTACCTCAGAGATGCAAGCCCATAGCTACAGATGCACCTGGCAGCTGCACAGGCAGAGAGAGATGCCAGACAGATGCTGGGAGGATGCCTCAGCACCCAGCTGGACACCGGTGCAAGACCGCCGGTGACACCAGCACCTCAGCTTCCTCACCAAGCTGCTCCTTTCATACCAGGAAGTTCTGGCTCCTTAAAAACCACTGAGACAAAGGACTTCAACACAGCATCCCAAAGCAGATGTCCTAAAGCACCTCATAATGCTGTCTCCACACATTACAAAATATTCAACGAAGGAGAGAGTGAGATAAAAAGAACCTTCAGGAAAGCAGGAGCAAAGACGAAGGGAATTGCCTTTTCCTGCAGGACTCAGCTTCCTCCCCAAAAGGGCAGTGAGCATGCACAACTACTTACTCTTTCTCTTGAAAAGTTTCATGAGAGATTTAAGCTTTGTGTTGATGAAAACCACCATTTTCAAGGTGTTGAATTGCGATCCTGGAGTTTAAATCCCAGAAGAAGGAGGAGCTGCAGAAAGGTGACTGTTTTGCAGACTGAACATGCACACAGAATCTCTCTTCTCCAGGTTTCTCCCCTCCACTTTTCTTTGCTTAAACCACAACTTTAAACCTACCTAGGTCTTCCCGACACACAAAACCATTTACAATTCTTTAGGCTGAATTTCTCCTCCTCACATGTAAGCTTGTGGGCTGAAAACAGTTTCAGCACGCAAAGCAGGAGGAGGAGTTTAAAAAAAGTTAATTGATGAATGTTTGCACCGGCACAAAAATCAGGCTTTCCTGCTACCCATGAATTACTCAGCTCTTCTCATCCTCTCCTCTGCTTTCCAAGTGCGGCTGCTCCGGAGCCTGCAGGTGATCCCTGTCCTTCCCATCGCGCCAGCCGGCTCTGCGGGCGGAGCACAAGGCAGATGCTGGCACCTTCCCCCTTTCGCCCTTTGCACCTCCCCGCCGGCCCCGGCTGCCGCCCTCCAGCCGCCTTCCAGTTGCAAATAAGAGTGCATTTTCGTGCAAATCAGGGTGCCCCGCTTTCCCACCCTACCCCCTCAACCCCCTTTATTTTCACCCTCTCGCCCCCACTTCATTAAGGACCCAAAGCCTCACCTCCCCTTCCAGATCCACTGCTCCCCCCTCCGCAGTCACTGCTATTGCCTGGGACTAGAGCTCACTAATTCTACATATTGAATTTCATTCAGCAACACTCATAATTTATTCTTATTAGCGTCATGTCAGACCAGATACATGGGAAACGAAATCCAGTTAGTGCTGGCTAACAGAGAACCTGCTGTTAGTCAAATGAAACTTGTGCACAGAGGTGGAATAGCCCAGCTGTTTGAACTGCACATTATATCCTCGTGGCTTAAAAAATATGTATCTGTACAGAGGCTCACGGCCATCCTTCCTAGGAATGAACTGCAGTTTTGCAGAAGTTAAAGGGAAAACACTAAGCACCAAATGAATGTGCTCAGCAGGGCATGCCCTTCACACAATGCTCAGACTCAAGAAGCAAGCCTTCCCTCACAAAGCAACCGTAGGAATCCCCCTTGGCTTAACAATGACATGTTTTTTTCCCTCAGGAAAAGGAAAATGTGAGCGGCAGGGGGGCTCAGACTGACCCCTGCTTTGCAGCAGGATCAGGCCTCTCGAGTGCAGCATGTAAAAAGCAGATGATTCACAAGAGCTTTACTCTCAGTTTCTCTAAATGGCTGAGACTCAGCACCATGCATAACAAACCATAAACAAAGTCTGTTCATCATTGTCTGAGCACACTTTTATCAGCACTTTACCAGTATTTCCAAATCCAGAGATTTTACAGTTGCAGTGTTGGGCCAACATCAAAACCACCATTAGCAGCAGGTCTCTGCAGCAGCTGCTGCCCCAAGAGATTTTGACTGGCTCACATTGGCAAAGGGACTGAAGACCACAGTACCATAGCAACAGTGGTGAGGAAGGCACCTCTGCTTTTTGCATTTATTTCCATCACACACCTTACACAAAAACAGTGACCTCGGCATCACTCTGATAACAAAATAACCACTGTTGTTTTTATAAGAAAACCCACTTACACAATAATCACAGAATGGTTTGGGTTGGAAGGGGCCTTAAAGACCATTCAGTTCCAAACCCTGCCACAGGCAGAGACACCTTCCACTAGGAACACCCCCATGACAAATTTGCCATGACCCACACATCATTAAAACCACTTTAAATGCTGCTCACAGTTGCTGGCCACACCCTGTACCTGATGAGTACAGAATGACTCCCTTCCTAACTCCTGTGGCCCTGCCGTCCAGGAGCAAATGCAGAAGGTGGTAACTCCTTTTTTAGCGTAGTGTATTTTTTAGGACGTTGAAGTGTCTCTGCAAGTGGTAAGAGGAGTTACTGTTCATTGGCACAGAAGAAGGTGACTATTTCAAGCTACCATTTGAGGAAGACTAATGGTAGTGAGACAGACTCTCCCTGAGGTCTTTAGGGCACCTCACAGAGGCTTGCAAGCCCTGGTAAGCAAGACTTTGTTCCCATTTCGTGTTCAAGCCCTTTGGATCAACACGATCCTGAGTACTTGGCAGGGCCCAGGGAGCCCCCTTCCCTCTATCACCAGGGGCTGCAATGTGTGCCAGGTGCAGTGTTGCTCTTTGTTACTGGATACTCAAGCCACCCTGAAGCATTTCTCCTGCCAGAGAATGAGTGCTTGATCACTGTCCTCTAGCCATGACCTCCAGTATGAGGCAGCTATTCAAACCCGGTAACAAACATGCATAAGATGATGTCTGCCTTTCATCTTCTCCCTGCTTTGTTTCCACCTTCCCTCAGGTCATGCTGACAAAGAGGTCAAACATCAAGACAGTTCTCATGAAGGGATACCCCAAAGGAAACAGTTAGCTACCTGTATCTGCAGCTCTCAGAATCTGCACAAGGTCAAAAACAACCAAAAGCTCTTCCCCACTTGAAACAAATCCATTGACTTCCATTGAAGTCAGCATGTCGTCTCAATCCAGCTTTTTTAAAATGCTTTTCCTTTCACAAGAAACTGTCATGCAATTGGCTTCTAATAGCAGCTCTCTTAAAGCTAA